AGCAGAAGGACAAGCCCTTAAGTGGGCCCCATTTTGGCAGGCTTCCTTTCACACTACCAGTTATGCGTCTGATCTCTCAACCAATATGAGTACAGGCACACAATGTGGAGCCACTGGAACTGGGAGAACACTTGCACAACTGCCCCTCTACTCCACATTTAGGCAATAAGGTTAATGCCCTTTTAAAGCATATTCTGTCAACTAACAATATGTTATTTATTTTTATGCATATTTATACTTTCTCCTTCAAATAAATGCCTCATAAGTTCACTTGTTTTGCCTGACATAAAAAAGTAACTTCTTAAACTGACATGGATCTTAAGGCATGTGAAAGAACAGCTTCTCTGAATAGGCAGGAATTTTACATCTCTTAATTTCAAATCTGAATTTTTTCATGTCACTAATGAAGAAGGGATGAGTCCACAAAATTGCTGATGTAATAAATCTGCATGCCCCAAGACTATTTCAGAAAGGTGGACATGTATTAGTCTTCTGCAGCAAACAAACACTATCACGGTATTTTTGAACTGCTTAAGCAATCTGACATATGTATATCACACATGGCAGTGGAAGACAGGAGGGCCTGGCGTACTCTGGTCCATGGGGTCACAAAGAGCCAGACATGACTTAGTGACTAAACAACAGCATCATGTAGCACATACATTCACAAATCCAGACTTATCCTTGTGTAGACCCAGTCAGATCAACAGGATAGAAATTATTAACTTGAATACTATGTATTTCAATACATTTACTTTAAATATAACTGACTCCTGATACCATGTAACAGGTATGGGAAACAGTTGCTTTGCATACACTTGAATAGAAATGAAAACTGAATTGTGATAACTGAATTGAAGCTTATAGTATGGCAAATAAGCACAAAGATTATTCACTACCACACTAATTGGCGATAATCATCCCAGACCTGTTACATTAATTTACTGTTTTTGTTGTTTAGTTGTTAAGTCGTGTCCAACTCTTCGTGACCCCATGGACCAGTGCACATCAGGCCACGCCAGGCCCTCCTGTCTTTTAATTTACTGTAGTGAAACATAAAACCACTGTCTTTATCCAGGCCCAGAAATACACAGAATAAACTTTTGGATGACTTCTGATCCTGTTATATCATAACAATTTACCTTTTAAATGATTTTATTGCAGAATGGAGATTTTTAGCCCATTTACTGCACATCCTAGGAGACAGCAACCCCCTCCCACTGGTTTCTAAATGTTGAAATTTCTGACTTCCTGACATTGTGGCTATTGTTCAGTTCTAATAATATTTCCCGAGTAGATATGGGAACAATGATCTTTGCTGTTACTGCAAAACAACATCTGCCTAATTTCCCTCCCATAAAATATTAACATATTCTCCTTAAGTATTCTTAATAGTATGCACTGAGTACTTGGTTCCACACTCTACACTGAAAAGGTTCAAGAGACTTATACCTCATGCATACCAATTAAATAGGTGTTTAATTGCTTTCCTTACAGATATATAGCTATGTTTAGTTCATGGTCACCGCACTAGAAAATTCTGTACACAAGTATATGTGGAACATACAAATAGTTACACAGAATAGAAAATAAACATTTCATCCTTGTTAAAAGGGCACTTTAATAACATTCCCTATCAAGAAACGATATGCCCCTGTGGGGAAGAAACCGTGGAGTCCTTGGCACATACCATTCTAGAATGTAGCTTATATAGGTTCGAACGTATCAGTTACCTCTACCCAATATATATATATATAGATGGAGTTTGTGTGGAACAGGTGGTTGAATGTAAGTTTCTTGGGACTATCATAACAAATGACCTGACTTGGAGTGCAAACACCGCTGCGTTAATCAGGAAGGCACAACAACGGTTGTATTTTCTAAGGATTCTTAGAAAGCAACAATTGACTGAGAGTTTGTTAATCACCTTCTATCGGAGTTCGATTGAGAGCATATTATCCTACTGTCTCTGTGTATGGTTCACGAGCTGCACAGTGGCAGAGAAAAAGGCAATTCAAAGGGTGATTAAGACGGCCCAAAACATCATTGGCTGTTCACTCCCCTCTTTGGAAGAATTGTATAAGAACAGATGTAAGAGGAAGATATCTAACATACTGAAAGACTCCTCTCATCCGGGATATCAGCTCTTTAAACTATTACCATCAGGAAGGAGATTCAGGGTATTGAAAGCAAGGACAAGCAGATTCAAGAACAGTTTTTACCCAAGTGCAGTATTGAGTTTAAATGCGGGGCCATAGGTTTTTGGTGGAATTTTAATTGCTGAGAGAAAACGGGGTATCTATATTTGGATGGTGAAAGTTGTGTATATTTTAACTTTTTTTTGTAGTGTTGTCCAGTTTTACCTTGGGGAAGAGCACCTCATTTCGTTGCACCCACTTGTGAGCGCAATGACAAATAAATTTCTTATGTCTTATGTCTTATGTCTTATAATGTGTAAATGTACTAGTATATCTCCCACAGACTACCTGAAGTTTCTGCTGCCAGTAGAGAACCAATAACACAGTCGGTGGCAAAAATTTTATTCTCAGTTTTAAGAATGTGTAAAATGTTATATAAGACAACCAGCTGACTCAAGTTTTATACCATCAACATGTTCTAACAATTTACTTACTCTTTATATCTTATATAACGTTTTTATCTCAGAATTTTTGGGTCTATGACTGTATAATAAAACATAAACCTAAATATTTGAAGTAGTGGATTTTCTGCATCAATCAAGTTGATGTTTGATGTCCCTCTCAACTCTGTGAATCTATATTTAAAAAGTCATAATTACATTTTAATACTATAAAATCCTTTACCAAGAAATACTACAATACTTTGAATTAATTGAAATGAGGTCTTTTATTAAAATTGGAGGGAAGACCATTCATGACAGAAACACAACCTTGAGAAAGAAACCAAAAATTTCAAGGGAATAATAATGGGATCTTGAGACAGGGGGAGCTGGTCCTTATAGCACAAGATGCTCATGGATCTACAAAGGATTGGTTGGGATTATTTTATCTCCCCATTTAACATTAATAACATTAAAGCAAAGCCCAGGGTCTTACTGACAACAGATGTTCTGCATTGTTTAACATATCCTTATACACAGAATGGCCACCATCACAATGAAGATAATTTTACTACTAATGAAAAATAACTAAGACTATAGTCTTTCTTTGTACCTATAACATACTCATGTATTCTGTTTTCTTAAAAGACAATACAGTATGATGTAAGACTTGGGGTATTGGGCTGAAAACTGGGAGATCTGGGTTCTAATTCCCACAGTCATGTGACAACCTGAGATCAGTCTTTGTCTCTCAGTTTGACATCTCACAGAGTTCTTGTGAGAAGAACCATGTATGCTTGTATGATCTCACATGGAAAAGGGCAGTACTTTAATACAACTAATGGTCAAACAAATGGCACCTTCTCTACATAATGGTTTACATTATGTAAACTTGTCTTTAAGTAATATTTCAAAGCACCTTCACTTTACAGCACAGGGATTTAAAAAAATGGGCAAGACACTCTTTTTGGTTGAGGACCACATTCTTTCACAGATGTTTTACAACTCACTCACGCTCTGCTCCTTTTGGACCCTCTGCATCTCTCTGCCTTTCCTTCTTCCTTACCTCTGTCCTTCATCCCACAGCTCTGAACTCATTGGCCTGGAATGAATGTACTGTATTAGGTATGCTGCAGTTTACAATTTTTTATTACAAAGGAACAAAAAAGAAAAGTGGAAAGAGTGCTTGCTTATTACAAGGGGACTCTAGAGCAAAATAAATCCCAAAAAAGTTAGATAAATACCCTCTTTTTTTTGTAATGACATTGGGATTCAGCCTGCCTCAGTCCAGCCCTATACTTTTTCCTTCGAAACCGCTGTGCTTGCTCCCTTCGGACAGGTACTGTAGGTTGGATGAAAATCATCACCAGCCACTCTTTTTCCACATCAGGGACAGATTCCCTTCAGTCTGGTGTACTTTACAAGACTGTTGTAAAGAAAGGGAAATCGCCCCAGAGGGAGACCACAGCTGCGATACAAGGATATCTGCAAGCAGGATCTGAAGGCCTTAGGAATAGACCTCAACAGATGGGAACCCCTGACATCTGAGCATTCAGTCTGGAGGCAGGCAGTGCATCACGGCCTCTCCCAATTTGAAGAGACCCTTGTCCAACAGGCTGAGGCAAAGAAGAAGTCACAAAAGCAGCAAAACCAGGGAGCTGGACAGGGGACAGATTGGATTTGTCTTCAGTGTGGAAGAGATTGTCACTCTTAAATTGGCCTTCTCAGCCACACTAGACGCTGTTCCAAGTCCTTCATACAGAGCACGTCACCATAGTCTTTCGAGACTGAAGGATGCCTAACTAAACTGTAAAGAAAACAAGAACAATAAGAATCAAGGCGTTATGTCCTTTCTTATACTCCCTTGTGGAAAAAAGATAGATCTTATGAAATCCTGTTATGGAGACAGGTTCCTTGTCGGAGAGAAAAGCAGTCTCCTTCTCTTGTCTCAGAGCAGCTGTCCAACATACATACATACAGTACACACTCATTCCAAATAAGGCTCTCAATTACACAAGTCCCATAACCCAATCCGCCCCTTCTTTCTCCTCTCACCTTCACAAACCCACACCAGGCGCGCATGCGCTCTCCTTTTCTTTGGAATCCAGCCCAGCAGGTATTTCTACTCAGCCACATACGTCTTCCGACATCCCCCAAGAAAACAAGCGCAGACGCATCAAAGAGCTCGCGCCTCCGCCAACCACAGGTGCCTCGCGCTTCTTCTTCCTCCTTCCCCCACCCCGCCGCCGCAACAGGTGCGCATGCGCCTTGGGCCCCGGCAGGTGTGCTGGGGCTTTCCCTCCTGGCGGGTCCGCGAGCGCCCCGGCGCGCGCATGCGTCAAGTGCCTCCCTCCTTCTTTCCCCCTCCCTGGAGCTGCAGGTGCCAGGAGGCGGTTGCGGTTGGCTGCGGCCCCTCCCCCCTCGGCTCTCCCTCAGGAGGAAACGCGACGTTCGGCTGAGGGGCGCCCGGGCTCGGAGCTGTCTCGGCGGCGGCAGCGGCTCTGGCTGCTCCCTTCATTATCGTGGAGTTTGAACGAAAGACGGACGGACGACGGACTGCCGCCCGGCATGAACCGCGTCCAGCGCGGAGGCGGAGGGGGAAGCCGCGGCCTCGGCACCATGGAAGTGAAGAGTAAGGTGTGTGACGTTCTAGCTGCTCTTTGCACCGAGGTGTTTCTGTGGTAAAATCAGGACTGGTATCCATGCCGAGCCTGGGAAAAACCGTCGAATTTTATGCCCCCGGGGGGGGGGCTTGAATTTTAATGGGAGAAGGGGCAGGATCACACTTCAGGGGGTGGGTGGGAATGTTTCCCTCTCTCTTTCAGGATCTGTTTTTTGTCTGGGCGAGGAGGGGGGCAGGTTGCTAAGCAATCGGGCAGCCATGGTAGGAGTGAATAGGCAGGGTTGCTTTTAATTCTAGATTGATCCTCGGCATCTGTGTTTCAGAGGGAGAAATATACTGTAATTACAAAAGAGTTCTCTTGAGTGCGCGTAGAGTACTTCTGAGCACGTGCAGAGCGCCATTCTTGGGTAGCCAAAGCCGCCCACCGACCCCCGCACACCTGGCATTGTGTAGGGAAAGGTATTTCGGGTTGGGGTATTGGCTGCGTTTCGCAGGCAATCTTAAATCCTACTACAGTACCTTTCTCCTCTGAGAAAGGAAGTACAGTAGCCCATGTTATTGCCTGTTTTCCTCCACCCCACCCTGCTTGCCACAATCCCATACTTTTTATGCCTGCTTATTTTTCTTTTCTGTGTTTAACAGCATATTAGGCATTTATTTTCTAGTTGAAGAAATGAGAGTTTAAAGCAAAGTAGAAATTTGCTTCTCAAATAATACTGTGTTTATAAGAGTGAATTAAGTGAGCTGTTAAAAAAGCAGAAAGCATATTGGGAGAGCTGCTAGCTGAGGATGGCATAATGCCCATAAGTTACCTATTAACAGCTCACACATCAGTAAATCACTAGAATCCTTTTTTGTCTCTTCAGAGTGCTAGTTCTAACCCTTAAGTGTGATTCTCTACAGAGTTAGAGGATATTATTCATAATTAGCACAAATTAATACAGATGTGATCTTGTATAGGCATTACCTGGCTGTCATAGTTTGCGTTGCCTCTGTCCTTCCCTGTCACATTGCATTTCCTCCTTTGTGCTTTGTGTTCATAATACCTGCTTTTACCTAGCTACAAGGATCCACTCAATACAGTACAAGAATCCAATATAGCTTGCTAAGGATTTGTTTTTTCCCCAGTAGTTCATGGGGCTGTAAATACTTCTTAAGGGAGTATTGACCTGTGTTTGAATGTATTCTAAAGATTGATTCATTTTATGTGTTTTGTTCACACTGACTGCTCAAAGCCTCAATTTCAAGACATAATGTGCTATTTTTACCCTTCCATTACCACAAATCCTGCAGCATGAAATATAGTTGTCATTTGATGCAGTATATTATCTGTACAGAAATAACTGATATATTCAAAAGCTGCCATCAATAACTACCAATACAGAAATTTTGTTTTGTTTGTTGAGTTTGAACCTGGTCACAGGTTAGAGCAATTTTAAAGCATTTATTCTGTGGAGAAGGGGGTACAGAAGGTGCCATTTTGAGCAAATGAAACAGGCTTTTGTTTCAGTTAGCCCCTGAATTGTTCAGCCATGTTACTTCAGCTGTAGCTATGGCACTGATCATGATAGTGTAAGAAGTTTCAAATTGTATGTACAATACAGGTGTGTGTTAAACACATTTTGCTACATATAATTTAGGGGAGTCATAGGCTATTTTACACAAACATTTTTGGAATGTTCAGAGTGCCTGTAATTTGGAACAAGAATAGTTATAGTCTAGTTGTATTCATACTAAATACTTTCAGAACATTTCATATTAAATACTTTCAGAAAATTTCAGAACATCTTCATGTCAGTGAATACACCCTGGTATACTTAGTTATAGATTAAAGTGCCCTTTCATTATCTGTGCAGTCATGCCACAAAACAGATGGGTAAATTATGCTATGTCCTCTGAGTAACAGGATGTGAAGACTGTGACTGCAAAGACATATTATCACTTATTTGCTACTTGTACTACATTGCTATTTCTGTTACACATCAACAGAAAACTATATCCTGACTACTAACATACGGTAGTAATAGCTATGCTATATGTTTAGAATGCTTTGATTTGAACATTTGATATATGCAATAAATAACTTCCTTTATATTTATTACATCTTTAAACCCATTACTTAGGACAGAATGTTTTGAATTGTAAAATGCACCACCCTTGTAGCTTTTTTTCTGTTCCTTTTGCTGACTGGATAGCTCAGTGAGTTAGATATCTGGCTGTGGAGACAGAGTTTGGGAGTTTGATTCCCCACTGTGGCTCCAGGGAGAAGAGCCAGCCTGTGTGGCCATGTACAAACATCACAGTTCCAGGGGATCCCTAGAAGAAGGGAATGGTAAACTACTTCTGACTATTTTTCTACCTAGAAAATCCTGAAAAGAGTTGCCATGTTAGAATTGACTTGATAGTACACTATTATTATTATTCTTTAAGAAGATTGTCACTTAGTATTTCTCTTCAAAGCACTAACATAATCTATAGTCCAACTTCTCCATGTCATCTAAATCTGTAATTAGTCCAGTGCACCTGATTGAGATTGTAAAATTGAAACATGCATGCACCCTGTGAGCAAGTAACTGGGTAAATACTACACCACATCCTGAAGATCATACTTTCGTATTCTGCTTGGACTCTTGTTTTATTTACTGTAGTTCCACATTGCCTAAAAGCTAACACTTTCAGGGAATGGTAAAAAAACTTACTATTCCAGCTCTGTACTAATGTGGATGTGAATTGCCACTTCACAGAAAGCTCCAGCTTCTTGATGTTCTGATAGTCTTACGCATAAAACAAAATAATTAAAAAATGGTAAGGAGTAACTAATATGAACCTGAGTACACATTTTCAAACACTCTATAGTGATGTGTGATGAAATAGTTTATGTACAATAGCATTCCAAGCAGAGAGTTGGTGCACAATAAGTAAAAATTCTGTGGTGGAAGTTGCATTTGAGATTTGTGAAATATGACTAGAAATTTCAGAAACTGATGATTTTGCAGTAGTAATTTCTGTGTTGTGATCTACAACGCAGTTTGAAATACAACTTGTACAGTATTACCTTGGTGCTATAGGTACCTCCAGACAGGTAGGCTTTAATAATATCCAAAGATTGCTTTTCCACTTTCTTTACAGTATTTTCATAATTTCAGCTGAGCATCTATACTTGGTGGAGGTGGTATTAAAATCTCAATATGGTTCGTCCACACACTGGACATGACTTTTCCGTAAAGAATAGTTGTGATTAATTACTGCCCAAAGCTGTAGTCTTTCTCCCAATGCTGCCTGTACGTACACACATATTTACTTATCTTTCAAACAAGGAAGATGTCTGGGACTGTCAATGCTGTTATAAAATCACTTTCTAGGTACTGAGGATGTACCCACCTGAAATCTAGAAGATTTAAAGTAAGTCCCAGCAATCTTCGATTGCCAAATTCAGAGGTGGCTGCTGGCAGGACTCACTTCTGCCTCTATCCATTCTTTCTCCTTTTTCCTTCAGACCACTAACTTTGCTATGATCTTATGGCCAATAATAAACCAGATGACCAGAAAGGGGCAGTTGTGGACTTTAAATAAACATTGAGCACTCTGTTTCCTGAAGTGTGTTAATTCTCCTTACCTTCTTCCAACACTGATCATGTTTCTCTTTCTCTCATTTGCTATGCCCTATTAAAATTACTTTTTAGTTTGTACAATGTAAGGGGTAAGATTCTTTTAAAAAAACAAATACATAATGCATGTAAATATGGAATTAAGCATTGTTGGTTTACCTCCCTTTTCCCCTAAAACAAACAAAAACGACTCTGGAAAACTCTCTTAATGTTCTTCTCTTCACTTTTCCTTCTTCCTGAAGTAGCTAGAAGTGATTATGAAGTACAGTGACAGAGTACAGGGACAGCAAAAGGCTATTCCATCAATCACTCTTTCTCTTCCCTTCCTGGGACACACCCAGAGAAAGTCAATCCAACTTATAGTCTCTTCAGTAAAAGACTCAAAGGTATTGCCTTCTGCAGAAGAAAACAGGCCATGGAGTAATTTTATTTTACGAACAAAAACAGTTAAATGTGTAAAGAAATGACTTGAAAAAAAGACTTCTGAGAAAAGAAGGAAGAATCTCAGAAAAGACAATCTGGGTTAAAATTGGGTGACTGCATCATGTTGGATGCCCAGATAAAATGAGTAAACAAAGCATAACTATTGCTGAGTAAAACCTTTTCTGAAAACAGTCCATGATATGAAGGAAGTTACGGTAACTCCTGCACTGCCTGTTTAATTTATTTTGTCATGCACAGGTGTAAAAAAAAAAATAGAATGACTCATTTGTTCTGCCTGATGCTGGCTTGATAGGATAGGTAGAGAACAAGAATGGTTGTGATGAATTCCATGTATTTAAATACCTTCAGGTCTAGGTGGGCTATTGTGGCTGTTTTTAAACTCTCTCTTTTTATTGTAAACAACATGCAAACAAATAAGATGTTATAGCACAAAGGGTATCAGTTACTTAAAACTGTTTTATATCCTTGGTATTTAGAAATAGGCAAAATACTGTATGTGATAAGCATATACAGTACTAGTTTCTCTGTCACGTCATGGGAGATACTTTGTTTCCTCAATTGCGTTGTCAATATGTTAAAGAGTTACTAAACAAGTTTCACAACCCCAGGATTAACGAGTTCCTTTTATGGGATTTCTAGCAAGATGTATAACTGCTAAATTACTGCTAAAATGTAACTTATAAGGCTCTTGAAATGAAATTGTTGATTACTGTCTACTGCTGCCTTGATAACACCATGTATAGTGCTCTGCTCTGGAGTGAACAATGTGCAGACCACATTGGCATAATTTCTACTGTGCCATAAAGTGTCTTGCTTTCCTGCCTATGGTTTTGCATAAAGACACTTTTCTTCCCTGTGGTTTGATGTCTGGTTTTCCATAGGGTAGTATGGGTTATTGAAAGAATCTAGTGTGTGCACATGCCTCAGACATTCTTGGTGTGATGCTGCTCCGAAATGGTACAGCTGCATATCTCTCGTATGACCCATAATGGAACAACATAAATTAGTATGCCTAACACCTTTTTTCAAATGCTTCCTTTTACTGTTTTTTTTCACAGTTGGAATTTTATTGAATTATTTATTATATTCTTGCTTGTTTCCAGTGAACTCAAACTGACAATGTAAGCAGGACTCCTTGCTTACATTGTCTTCAAAGTAATATTGAGAGGTAGGTTAGATTCACAAATGTTACTGGTTGATTATCACTCTGTAAGAGTCTTAGGTGAGAAGGAACTAGAATCTCAGTCTTCATACCTCCTAATATGACACTTTGATTAGTGTATAACAACTTTGTATCAAAGTCAAGTAGATTTTATGATTTTTGTTCTACAAATATTTCTCTTTCATCATTCATTTTTATTTTTATTGTAGTTTGGTGCAGAGTTCCGACGATTTTCTTTGGAAAGGTCCAAGCCAGGCAAATTTGAGGAATTTTATGGATTATTGCAACATGTCCACAAAATACCCAATGTTGATGTCCTAGTTGGATATATAGACATTCATGGAGATCTCTTGCCTATCAACAATGATGACAATTATCACAAAGCAGTGTCTACAGCTAATCCTTTGCTTCGTATTTTTATTCAAAGAAAAGGTAAGTGTGTATTTAGTAGTACAGCTTTTAGTAATCTGTTTCTTCGTGTAAGTTCATAATTACCTTTTTCTTAATATTAGCAGAGCTGGACTTATGTGTATTTCCTTGAGAAGTTGTTCACCATTTTCTCTCTTTTGAAAGATAGTTCAATTTCTCTACACACTGAAAGGAAAATGACTGTCAAGAGATAGTGTTTTACCTCCCCCAAAATGGGTCAGACCACATGTGGTTATTCATCTAAAATGCATATAATTTCTGAAAATGTAATTTTCAGTGTGATCATGACTGTTTATCTTGTTGAGAATCTTGTTTTCCTTGCTGAAACCTGGTTGCCAGCTTTATTGTAAAACCATTACATATAGAGACTGTTGGTCCTGAAGCATCAGGAATAGTTACCACAAGAAAGAATACAATGGATTATTTTGGAGTTTGGGGGTTATTTTGAAGTATTTGTAAATTATAGCTTGGATATTTTTACATTGATATAAAAATGAACTGAATTTAGCACTGCTTGTCAGCTTCCACTAGATGTGGGGGTTAGAATCATTGAAAAATGTTTTGTATGTCTTGCATCTTGAACCATGGCTCAGTTCTGATGTAATACATTTTATCCAATATATTTCCTTCTCTCCTCATGTATGCCATGGGCTAACAATCCACAGTTTCTTATTATGTCCAATAGAAATGTGCCATTCAGATTTTTTGGACTCCAACTTCCAGAATTCACTAAGAATTTCCTAGGCTGATTTTTGGGAATTCCAGCCCCCAGACCAAAGCCTACAGATGTCTATATTTTGCTCACCTTCAGAAGGGACTGGTTTCCAAGGCTCTATGGCCTAGCTCCAGCTTAGCTTAGTGTTAAAAAAGTAAATTGCCCCACTGCTACCTGAGAATCCAGGTACTGTCCTTGGAGGTATATGCTCACTGTATACAGGACAAGATCCTGTTGCATAAACGTACGCCAGGATAAATTTGAACTGGTGCTAGAAATAACTAAATGAATTTGATTGAAAGCTTCCTATGGCCTCACCCTTTCAGATTCTGAAAGGGTCCCTAGGATACTCATTTGTCTTGGGAAAGCCTTTTGGGAGGCTTAGGATGATGGGGGCAGGAACATTTGGATAGTTAAAAAAAAAAAAAACTACTGGATAACTGGCACTGTGTCCAGTTTATGCCAGTATAACTTTTATGCAACAAGATTTTGTTTATTGAGAGAGCCGTCACTTATATAGAGAACATCATTTATGAAGGCTTTAAAATAAGTCAAATCTCTGAAATGTTATGTTTGTTTTTTGCCTATAGAATTCTGGAAGAGGGAGGAGAAAAAAATCTGAGTGTGACATTCCTAGTGTCCAAAATATGGAAAGTTATGAACAGTTCAGCCAGGTTTTTGTCTACAGACAGAGGAGAGACTGTAAATTGATGAGTTTGACAACTCTGCCTACTCTCTGTAAAGAGAAATGAGTGACTGTAGTTGTTTTGCCTGCTGCTCACCACAGTGTAGGATCTGAAGAATGAGGGAGGGAGGGAGGGAGGGAGGATCTGTTAGACTAATAATTGTGGAAAGAGAAGTTTGTTCTATATTTGACCAGGTAGTTGGCAGCAGTGCTTTTTATGTTCTTATTTTCATGTTTGTTTCCAATATTTGGAGAACATCTTGTAGTTTTATAAAATAGAATTGGTACAGAGAAGAAATGGAGATGAATACTGTAGTAGAACCTTAAAAGCATATTGAAAGTAATAAATCCTTTCAGTACTTAAAAAAATGTGGAAGAGCTAAGTTGGAGATAAGAAGAAAAAAGTTTAATGTGAGTTCCTTGAAGAATATGAATTTATATTTTCAATACATCTATATTGCCTTTTACTATAAATTCTTTAAGGTGATTTACAAAAATAAGAATTCATATCAACATTAAACATAATTAGAAAAATAAAAGAAGCAAACTAATCAAAGCAGTACAGTATAACTAGACATGTTGGGGGGATGAGAATTTCACAATTTAATCCCCATCATTAGAAATGTCCCTGTCTTCATTGACCACCTTTGTAATCTTTGAAGGCAGGAATATTTGGAGAAGAGCTTCAAACAATGATCTCAGTTCATNTTTCATTTGCTTGCTAGAGTGTTGTTGGCGGGAGGGGGAATGCAGCCTTTCAGTTTTCTCAAGACTAGACCTAAATGTGTGATGTGATGGGCTTGAAATAAGAATATATACCTGAACTAAACAGAAACAAAAACAGTGGCAGATTGTTTTGAGTGCTGGAATTTGCTGCAACTCTTTTTTCAAAATGTGGTTGAGCACAGATAAACAACGAAATGAAGTATCCCAAGAGGTGGTGTCAGATACAGCCAGAGCCTTAAGTCACAATACTGCATTCTGAAAATTGAATATTTCAGGAACACCCAAATGGTGTTTATTCCTGGATTTTTCCTGTAACACAAAAACTCTATCGTAGTTCTAAGTAAAGAGAGCACTGGAGTACAACTAAACAGTCATGTCAGCCATACTTGCTGAATCCAGAGCAGCAAATATACACCTGAAAAGTTTACATAACATTTGGCTATGAATGTGATCCTGACATGCTTACTCGGGAGTAAGCCCCCTTGGATACAGAGGGGACTTTTAACTGTGATTGAGTGTGGCATTTGCAGCTATTACAAATTTGCTGCTTCATTTTTGCAGCATTTTTCATTTTCCACTTCCCCAGCTTTTTAAAGTTTTCATAAAACAGAAGAATGGTCTGTTGAAGTTGTTGGATTGATTTGCAAGGTCAGATTCAGCAATTCTGCCTAAGCTCTTTCAGTAGGCATATGACTAGAGCAGATAAGCCACTTGGGGCTGGGATTATTACTTGCATTTTAAAACATTTAGCACATGATGCAATAACATCCTCCACAAGATGTCTTTGGGTAGAGTATTTCAGATCTGCAGACTGCCCACTTTTTCTTAAAAATCGCATCTGTTACTGATTCATGGAAAGTGCTCTGTAGGAAATGACTGTTGCTGTACTACTCTTTCAAAAAGATTGGAGTCTTTCTTTGGAGATTTTATATACTGTATCACATGTAAATATAAGTATGACAGGCAGCATTTACAATGTTTTACTCCAGTTGCTTAAATACAAAAGATTGCCATATCTAGCATACCAATGCATTTCCTGGGTGCATATCTGGTACATTTTTGCATTTAATTCCTTGCCTATGGTATTTCATTTTAAAGGGGTTAATTACTGGAATATGCTATTTGGATGCTTTGGAGTTCCATCTCAAAGAATTCTCCAGGCTGAATTCTGGAAATTCCAGTCCAGAGACTCATACCTTCAGACACCTTCAGACATCTATATTTCACTCACCTGGAACAAGTCTATCTTGGAGCCTCCCTGCCTATCTTGGGCCTACTTTCTATTGTTAATGTGCAAAAATGAAAGCTGCTGCAGTACTTTAAGAGATTTATAGTCTTGTTTTAGGCTTGAGCACCTCTCAAAGAATGATGATGCCCAGAAAGCAGTGCAGCATCTTTGATTTTTGTACATTAGGAGAAGTAAGTCTGGGACAGTCACAGAGGCATCAGGACAGGCCTTGCTCCAGATGAGCAAAATATAGGTATCTGAAGCTGTCTCTAGGTGTGAGTCTTTTGGCTTGAATGCCCAGAATTCTGCCTGGGAATTCTTGGAGAATTATGGGAGTTGGAGTCTAAGGAATCTGAATGGCACCTCCCTAGTTCATGGTAAATTTGAATCAAATGTTCTAACCATGTCTGTGTGAAATAATTTCTGAGATGGATAAAGAAGCTTTTTTTTCTCATGTTCATAATTCTGCTCTGTTCATTAAATGCTTAGCAGTCTAACACACATTCCACTGCACAGGGCACTAGAGAATAATGCCCTACCTGGTACACTTAGAATAAAGGAGGAAGTGAGAGGGCTGTTGTCCGAGACAGAAAAAGAGATGGTGCAGGGGCACTTAGCTATCTTTAGTGAATTTGACTTCATCCCAGGGTAATAAAGGAGTTTGCAAATGGGATTTCAGATATTCTGGCTATAATTTTTGAGAATGTTTGGAGAACAAGTGAGGTCCCTGAACACTGTAGAGGATCAAATGTTATTCCTGTGATGACCATATCTCCCATACTAGCTGTTCATCCAGTCCTCAGGCACCTCCATGTCGCCTTTCAACACTGTAAGACTAGCCACTACTCATTAGTGCCTCTAGGGAATGTGTGTTTACAAAGGACGCCACCTGCAAAAAACTCAGCCAAGTATTTTGGGGTTACCCCTTTTATTTTGCCTCAGCCAGAGCCTCCCTGCTCTAAGGGAGTATATTTTATTATTCTGGTGTTTAATGAAATGGTTTTTCTATTTTATTTAATCACTTTGTTCCTTTTGGTAACACAACGCTTCGCGTGACATGAGTGTATTGATGTCCTTGTTGGGGTCTTGAAGGGAACCCTCTCTGTCCATGAAATGTCCCAGAGGACGTATTTAGGGACTTTGAGCTCTATCCAGGGATCTTCCTTGACAATAGATGAGTACCCACTCCTCCAGTTCTCTGTCTTCCATCTGGCTTTCTCCTGTCCAAAAACTAACTGCCTTCTATGGTTCTTCCTATTTTATATCCTTCTCCTCTCCCTGTCATCCTTCTCACACCTGATTTTTTTCTCTCTCACTTTCAACTGTGACTCTTCTCTAAAAGTAAGTCTTTTTTATGCCTGCAATAATGCCAGGCAGCAGCAGCTTGTCTAATTCATGTATCTATGTTCCAAACGTACAAAGTACTGTACTTCAAATAGTAACAAGTTAAAATGAATTGAAAACATTCTTACAATTATGAGAAATACTGTAGCCACAAATACTTAAGCATAAACTACCATCAAAAAGTCTTACAACTATGAAGGGTTGTAAACAAAAGTACATTAAAAAACAACAGTTAAGGTGAAGGTAGAAATCATGTTGTGATTATGTTTCAAAATTAAAGGAGCTTACATTCTGAAAATGCAAAT